GAGCTTATTCTCCGTGCTTTGACATTTATGATTCAATTAATATGTGTTTGTTGTGCTGAATATTGTTTTTATTTAAAAATGTATTAAAATAAAATTTTATTTTTAAAAAATTATTTTTAATAGCAATATATTAAAATAATTTTAAAATACTAAAAAAATATAATAAAAAAATTATTATTTTAAAATATTTTAAATAAACATGGTTTAATTTAAAAAAAGACAACCTAGAAAATTGTATATTGTATATCAATCATAGTCAATTTAGACAATATGGAGCATTGAAGTTCGATGGCTTTATTTTATAAGAATTAAATTGATATTTTTTTAATTTTAAATAAATATTAAAATGATAATTTTTTCAAACTAAATAATATTTTAATGAATTTTTAGATACATTAAAATACCCCATTTGATTAAAATTTTAAACGGACATTTAGATTCGAATAATGACTTTTTACCTTTTCACAAGAAAATAAAAAAACCAGAGAGAGAGAGAGAGAGAGGAAGATTCTGTCCAGTATGGCATAGTTGTACAAGGGCTGCTCAATTCAGCATACCAACCGGCGCCGTTTGTGGGCCAACCCCGATTGGCAAGATGATTCTGGTATCCAAATGGGGGAAGCACCTGTCCTTGTTTCTTTTATTGGACATCTGAGTGATGGGGAAATCATCGAGGATGTTACAGGAATTTGACAAGTACACCTACCCTTTTTAGGTCAGCTCTTCGGTGTCCTTTTGTCTTCATCTTTTTTGTTCTCTTCTTCTTCTGGTCTGTTCTGCCCTGGTGATTCAATTTTCTCACGGCGAGGCTGCTATATTTACAGATACAATTCTAATTTTACTGAAAGTTCTGTTCTCTGAATCCACTTCCTTGGGAGTCAGAATATTATGTTTGTTAACGGGATGCATTTATCTGAGTATTTTTTGGATTCCAGCATAGTTAAAAAAAAAAAATATAATGTAAAAAATATTTAAAAAAATAATACTATTTGAAGCATAATAAATGACATCTACACCATGCAAGTTGTAAGTATCATCTGGACTTTTTCAAATTGTAAACTATTGGGCACATCAATTAAAAGGAAATGGAGAGTGAGAGGAAAGAAAAAAAAAGATTTTGGATGCATATTAAAATCTTGATAATAACATCATTGGTATTTTTAGAAAGATTTCTATGAAATAAATCAACAATACCAAGAAAAGTCACTAATAGTGACCGGAATAGGTCACACAACCAGCCCAAATACAAGTGAACCTGACACCTTTAGATTGCTCGTGTTGTGGCATTTTTTGGTATTATTAGATTCATCTCGTTGGGATCTTATTAATAGTATTAATGTGCTTCCATGGTTATTTTCTTTCTTTTTTTTGTTTTCTCTTTTTCCTCTCTCTTCCTTTTAATTTGTAAAGAGGGATGATGGAGAAAAATAATAATAAAAAGACCTTGAAGATATATTGAAACTCCGATGATGATACCATTAATATTGTTGGAGTGATTTTGATGACAAGAATATAACAACACCAAGGAAAGTTACCAATAGTGACTGGAGTGGGCCATACAAGCCGTTCAAAGGTGTTGGAGCTCACTTGTCCATTCTACTCACCGTTGGTGATCTTTTTTGGTGTTGTCATATTCATCTTATCAAGATTTTTTTTAACAGTACTAATGGTGCTATCATCGGAGTTTTGGTGTGTTTTCAGAATCTTTTTCTTTCTTTCCTATTTTTTTTCTCCTCTCTTATTAAATGTTGCGTCTATCAATTTTGCAATTTAAATGGTGAATCACGAATAATAAATATCATCTATAATTCTCTAAATTGTATTATTTTTTTTATTTTATGGTATATCTTTTTTACAACATTAGAAAACAAAAAAACTCAATTATTCAGTACATAGAATTTCTGCTTAATCAACGCCTGAGCCAAAAAGATTTTTCAATGGGATTAATTCATAGCCCTTACCTGTTAAAAAATATATATTTAACTTGAAAATGCTTTTTTATTTGTTAAAAATAAAATAAAAAACATGATACAATGAGTAGTGAGTTGAATTTTTTATTTATTTTTGTTTATGATTAATTTGTATTTTAATAACATTCGATAATAAACTCATCATTGATAAAATTATTGAAATGAAATACAACAAAAATAAGATTCAATACCAAGGTTGTTAAAATCGTTTTTAAAACTAGAATTGTTGGAGAGTCCTTAAAATTATATCATAAGATCAGATTGTAAAATCAGAAGATGTTGCTCATGTAATAATACTAGTAATTAATTATTTTTCTAACACGTATCATAGCTAGCTATTTTTATTGTTAATTGTAAATATGAAATTCAAAGATGTTATGTCCATGGATTCATACTGTGTTCATGTAAAACAAGGCTTAACCATTGTCAAAAAACCATCTCACCTAAAAGTTTAAGCTGTTAGGTGAGGCTTCAAGACATGCAAAACAAGGCTTAACCATTGTCAAAAAACCATCTCACCTAAAAGTTTAAGCTGTTAGGTGAGGCTTTAAAATATAATTTATATTATTTTCTAACACTCCCCCTCAAGTGAAAGCCCTTTGGATTTGAAACTTGCACATACCCACATTATCTTGTGCTTAATTTTTTTTTATCAAATAAATGATGATGATGAGATTCGAACTCGAGACCATTTGGTCATCAAGACTCTGATACCATGTCAAAGAACCATCTCAACCCAAAAGTTTAAGCTGTTAAGTGAGGCTCTAAGATATGATTTATATTATTCTCTAACAACCATCCAGAATATAAGAGAAATGTCATTCTACGTAGACAAAAATTCTTGGGTATATCAAATCATTGATCCATGACATAAGGTTTTATCTAAGTAGAATTAGATTAGAGACTTTCACAACACTAAAGTCAACCAAATCTTTAACTCTTATATTTGAATCGTGTTTAAAATATAGAAAAATAACTGCATGAGGAAGGATTTTTTTTAAGGGGAGTGGTAGCTTGAAAGCCTAAAATAAAACAAATTACATATTTCTAAAATTATGAAATCATAAAATCTACATGATTTTATCGATTTAACAACTTATTTTTATTAGGATCTTAATCAATTGGGATTTTTAGTACATTTTGAATCATAAAATTATTAGATTTTATGATTTGATAATATTTTCTAATAACTATATGTACAATATCAAAATAAATGACTCAAAATGCAATAGCAGGTAAAAAAGAAATGAATTTTTAAAAATCATAAAATTCTATTCACTACTAAAAACCTAAAAGATTTTTGTATGTCAAGGAAATTTTCTATAATTAAGAAAGCAAGTGAAGTTCTTAGAACAAGGTAAATACAAAATGATGGGTATAACATCAATTTCTCCGCCAATGATATGCTCTCCTTCTCTATAAAGAAAATTCAAGGGAGTGGTGTATAAATACACCCAATCACCATGCTAGAAAGCTAAAACATTTTTTTTTTTCTAACCACACATGCTAGGCCATACAATCCAAGTTTTGCGAAATCTAGCCAAAAACCTAACCAAGCTAAAACTTTTTTTTTTCTAACCACACACGCTAGGCCATACAATCCAAGTTTTGCAAAATCTAGCCAAAAACCTAACCAAGTTAGACCATTATATAATTTTTAAGCCAACACACGTAAATACACATTCTTGAGACTTCATTTTTTTTGTCTTCCTATTTATTTATTTTTTTTTCTCTTTATGCATCTATTGATTTAATATTAATTTTTTTAAGGGACTTATCTTTTTCAAGTGAAATTACAATTACTAGCCAAGCCCATCAACTAGTGGTAAGCCTAATTGCATGATCTATTGATCCAACTGTGAAAAGTTTAGTTTATGTGTGATTTCAAAACTAATAAATAACATTTGTTCACAATTAAATCATAATTTGCTAGTTTCACATAGTCTTATCAAGATCCACGTAAAGTTAAAAGTTATAATAAGTATTCTTTAATATTTTAGTTTTTATAATTATTATTTCTATTATTGTTACCCCCTTTTGACCTTAAAAAGAAGGATAAAAAATCCAAGAATACAAGAAGAATGCCTAGAAGATTGTCCAAGCTGGTGGTAGAGAATCAACAACACAAGTGAAAAAGTTGGAGGACTAAAATGTATAAGATTGGCAAAAATAAAAAAACCCAATTCTGACTGACTAAAGGCTCAATTGGTGAAAATATTTTTATTGGGGGTAAATAAATATAAATTTGAATGGTTAAGGACTCGATGAGAATTTTAAAAGTCTTAATTAATTTTATTAAGAACTTATTTGCAAGGAAAATCAGTTTTTGAAGTCAATTTATGTGTTAATAAGAAGAAATTGAAGTCTGAGGATTGAAATTATACTTTTAAAAGGTTTAATTGGTCAAATTAAGGGCTTCATTGTAAATAAATTAAAGTTTAAAGGCAAATTAAGGACTCAATTGCAGATTCTAAAAACTAAGGACCAACCTGAAAGTGGCACACAATTTTGAAAGTAGAAATTGGTTAAATGAGGGGTCAAGTTAAAAGGAATTGAATTTTTTCAGTAAATTAAAGATGAAATTGAACAAATTAAAAACCAAGGACTCGTTTGTAAAAAGCATTGAACTTCGGGATTGATATTTGAATTTAGCAGGGGTGTAATTACATGCAATTAAAAGTTAGAAGATAATTATAAATACAATTAAAAAATAATTGAAAGAGTAAGGATCAAATTAAAATTAGACAAATTCCATATTAAAAAACCCTAATTTTTAAGGTTTAACATGAACGATGTGTCGTTCGCCTACTGTTCATCTCTTTTATTAACAGTTTTGAATGATCAAGTGAGCATGTTCAGCAAAATGAATATGGCATTTTCGATCATCTCAGGTGAATAAAACACCCCTTTTACAACCTTATGTTTATGAAGTTAGATATTTATATCTCAATTCTTCCACGAAAGTCTCCAACATCTTATCCCTAATTAACTTTTCCTGTATTTTCAGATTCTAGATTAATCAAGTTGACATATTTAGACGAATGAATGTAAAACTACAAACCTTTAAATTGAGCAAGGTTGGATTCAAAAGGCGTGCACCTCCTCTACAAAATTTAGGTGGTTTTCAATAATGTTTATATTGGAGTTGCTTTAGAGAAACCTTAAAAATAGTTAACCCAATCAATCTTGATTGTGACACCTATTTTTTAAAAAAAACATCTATTTTTTCCATGTATTTACGCTTGAAAGCTTCTCAGATGGTTCTTATCAAGGGCTTTAAAACCTCCATCTAAAGATCAAAATGTCAGAAAATGGCTCATTGCCTTCCAAGTCTAGCGAAACCACCATTGCAAAACCAGCCTAATATAAGAGCTTCTAACTATTAACTTTTGTCTGGAAGTCTCTCATTTTGATTAAATGATTAAGCGTTGATCAGTCTTGGATGGAATTCACTAAAAAATCTAGAAAAACTTATAAATACTCCTTAAAAATAAATAGAAAAAAGAAAAAGGTAGGAGGAGAAAAGAGAAGAGAAATATTGAAAACAACCCTAGTTCTGAAGGCTCACGAGCCTAGCACAAAAGTCTCATTAGCATTGAAATGTTTGAAATTACTGGAGGTAAAATTCTTTTTAAAAGTGAGCAAAAGAGTAGCGGCTATTATTTTAAGTTTGAAAGGTATAAAACCTCATCTAACCTAGCATGTGATATCAATGAGGCACATCTCTATTATTTTCTTGTATGTTTAATGATGTTTTTAAATATTTTTTGGTGTAATTTTTTTCGACACTTATGTGGGTTGATTAAGGAAAATATTGTTTTGTTTGGTTAATCCTATTTTGAAATTATTGTTAATGGTTTTTTGGATGTTTAGAAAATGCTTAGATATTTTTTCCATGAAATAAAATGTTCTGAAATATGCCAAAAGATGATAGTAGAGGGTTTTTTTTTGTGTTGGGTAATACATGTTTTTGTCTCTGTTTTTTGTTTTTACCGAGTCTCATGAAATGTTAAAATATCAATTTTGAACCTCAATTTGTTGAACATGCTTGTTGTTTTAATTTGGCGGTTTTTAAAAGTAAAACTTCATGCATGTTTTTGATGATTTGATGTTATTTATTAATTCTTTTGATTTAAATATCTTTAACTTTACCAATATGGTTTGTTAAGGTAAATAAAATAAAAATAGAAGTTAAAGCCTCAAATAGGCATTTCTTGGTTTAGGCAGTGACTGATGTATTTCTGGGTTTTTGTTGTTGAATGTTCTTCACGTTCATCCAAAGAACATTGTCTTAAGTACTAATTGTAGGTTTCGTTTTGATTTGATCTTGATTTTTACATGTTTGTATAACTTGTTTAATCAATAATTTAGGATTTATTGCATCAATAATAAGTTTTTGAAGGGTTTTAATCCTAAGATTTTAGTTTTGAGTTCAAACCTATTTTGGTAAAATTGTATTGATTTTTTTTTTATAATCGAAGTGAATGGATGTTTGATTATTGGCTTATACATGATTGCAAATGAAACCTTGCATTTAAAAAGAATTATATTTTTTTTTTATCTTACTCTATTCATTATATGGTGTTTGAGAGTGTAATAATATTTATTTTTTAAAGTATTTTTCGCTTGAAAATATATCAAAATAATATATTTTTTAAAAATTATTTTTAACATTAACTTATCAAAATGATCCACAAACATCTAAGAAAAATTAATTTTAAAGAAAAATAAAATTTCAAAATTTTAAGGAACACATTTCTAAATAGCTCATATCTTTTTGGTGAGGTCTTGATTTCTTAAACTTAATTTAAGAGTTCAATAGCTTTTACTTTTTAATATTTTTTAAAAGAACATTTACCTTAAAAATATTAAATTAATTTTTTTTTAATGTTTTTAAGATGAACTTGACTTTCTAATATTAAAATTAAAAAAATTTAAATCAAATTATTTTAATATATTCTTAACTAAAAAATATTTTTAAATAATATCATAAATCACACTATATACCCACCGAAAGAGTCAATGTTGTGTTTCAATAAAAGTTGCCTGCCACATCCAAGTGGAATATAGGGCTTTCTTCACAGCTTTATTAGGATAAGTTCTCTATCCTGGATTAACATGTGTTGATAATTTGACATTTTGGTTGGTTATTATTTTTTTTTATTTTCTCTTTATATTTATTTTTTTAAAAGTAATTTTTTGAAAAATTATTTTTTAATTTTTTTTGTATTTGCTATTAGAGAAGTTAGTCAATGAAAAACACTTTTCGGTTAATGAAAAATACTTTCCAGTTAATAAAAAATTTAGTTTGGTTTTCAAAAAAGTGTTTTCCTTTTATTTTGGACTAAAAAAACTTTTTAAAAATAATGAAAATCTAAAAATATCATATTACTTACTGATTATATCAAATATGATCCTCAAACTTTTGATTGTTATATATATGTGTGTATTTTGTTTTGGATATTTGTTGTTCAATTTCATCTCTTAAAATTTAATTTTTATATTAACTTTGGTTCTCATTTTTATAATTGTTATTTATTTTTTTCTTATTATTTTTTAATTGAAAAATTTTTATCTATCAAATTTGGTCCTTATTATTATTTTTTATTTATTTTATTTGAAATAATTTATAAAATATTAATTATTTTTATTTTTATTTCTTCATCTTTTAATTTTTTTTTA